CACTCTGATCACATTAGGGAGTCCTGTCACCATCTGGTGTGAGGGGACCAGAGAAACCCAAACATATGTGCTACATAAAGAGGGAAGTCCAGAACTCTGGGACAGACAGACCCAAAAGGATCTCAACAATAAGGCAAAATTCACTATCCCTTCCGTGACAACACTGCATGCAGGGAACTATCACTGTTACTGTTACAGCTCTGCTAGGTGGTCACAAAACAGTGACACCTTGAAGCTGGTGGTGACAGGTGAGAGGACTCATTCCCTAATCTCAGAACCTGCTTTGAAAAAGGGACTACATTTGCTGTCCCTTTCTCAAATTCAATAAGAGTGGCAAATGTATACTGAAACGAATAGACTTCACAAGTTTCCTCTTCTCTCCTAGGAGTCTATCCCAGCAAAGTCTCCTTGTCAGCCCAGCATAGCCCTGTGGTGACCTCAGGAGGGTATGTGTACCTTAAGTGTTTCTCTCAGCATGGATATAACAGGTTCATTCTAATTATGGAAGATGAGAAATTCTCCAGGGCCATGGACTCACAGTATACATACTACAGGGACTTCTGGGCGCTGTTCAATGTGGGTCCTGTGAATCCCCAAAAGAGATGGATTTTCACATGCTATGGCTATTACTGGAACAGCCCCCAGCTGTGGTCAGTATCCAGTAACCATCTAGAGCTCCTAATCTCAGGTAAGGAAACCCTAGACTTTTTTCTGAATAATAATTGATTTGACAAAAGTTCTCAAAGAAAGATCTGATATATGGTGGACTAATGAACTCAAGCTCGTAAGCTCAATTTCACAGAATGTGGGAGACAAGGGTGGATAATAACAGTGGAACTTAGGAGTTCATGAAAAGATTGGGTCTTTATGTGTCCCTCTGCCTTTACCAATCAGCTTCAGTGTCATTGTCAAGTGTAACTTTTTCACAAGTATCCTAAGAGATGTATCTCATTTTTTTCTACTTTGCAGGGACCCTCCACGAACCCACCATCTGGGCTGAGCCAGGCACGCTGATCACCTTAGGGAGTCCTGTCACCATCTGGTGTGAGGGGACCAGAGAAACCGAAATATATGTGTTACATAAAGAGGGAAACCTAGAACCCGGGGACAAACAGACCCAAAAGAATGACAACAATAGGGCAAAATTCACCATCCCATCTGTGACAACACTGCATGCAGGGAAATATCACTGTTACTCCTACAACTCTGCTGGGTGGTCACAGCGCAGTGGTACCCTGGAGGTGGTGGTGACAGGTGAGTGTTTGTACAGTACTCAGGAATTGTATCCCAAGACATGACTCTTAAAATGTCTGGTCTGAATGTATTCCCACTCATCAGTCTTTCAGGGGACAATGCAGACTGTATACGCCCACTTAATTTTCCATGTTTACCTCTTCTAGGAGTCTCCATCAAACCCAGACTGGTAGCCCTGAACAGCCCTGTTGTAACTGTAGGACAGTCTGTGATCCTCTCATGTACCTCAAATCAGAGATACAACAGGTTCAGTTTAATTAAGAACAAGCAGAAGTTTTCCAGCTCCATGGGCTCCCAGAATGTATATACTGGGCTGTCTTCTGCCAGGTTCCAAGTGGGTCTCATGACCTCCAGCCAAAGATGGAGTTTCAGATGCTATGGCTATCACACAAGCAAGCCTCAAGTGTGGTCAGAAGGGAGTGACATCCTCGAGCTTCTAGTCTCAGGTGAGGACATTCCAGCTCTCTGTTGAATGACACTGAAATGTGTTTGCCCTGGAGACCCTAATGTGTGATAAATACAGGGCAAGACAGGTTCTTGAGCTCACTGATACAGCAAGCAGACTGTGGGAGTCAAGATACAGAACCCAATGAGGGGTGTTGTGATAATGGAACCTGGGAGGGTCAGGAGTAAATGGATCCTCACATGGCTCCATCTGTCCTTCGATTATTCAAGGGTCAATTCCAAGTTTTACTTTCCCTGTGCAACTGTTCAAAGTCCTACATTCCTCTCACCGACTTCTTTTCAGGGACCCTCCAGAAACCCAGCATCTGGGCTGAGCCAGGCTCTGTGATCACTTCAGGGAATCCTGTGACAATCTGGTGTGAGGGAACAATGGAAACTCAAATATATTTCCTGTATAAAGAAGGAAGCCCAGCACGCAGGAGCACATTAACTGCACCAGTGCCTGATCACAGGGCTAAGTTTTTCATCCCATCCATGAGAGAACACAATGCAGGACGATATCGCTGTTACTGTTATAACTCTGCTGGGTGGACAGAGCACAGTGACACCCTAGAGCTGGTGGTGACAGGTGAGTGGACACTAAGGGTCACAGTCTTCACATTTTCCTGTGGGGACCCTGAGAGCTCTGCTGCTGGCAGGGAAATGACCCACATGCAGTAATAAGGAAAACTCAGGTCAGGCTGACATAGTAATTGCCAGTTCATACTTTTAAAATCCTGAAACCAGGTCACTTATTGCAAGCAAATTTAAACATAGTACAAATCTGGACAAAAAGATTCCTGGTGTAATAGAAAATCCAGTGAGCAACTAGACATAATTGTATCAAAACTCAACTCAAAAGTGACCATGAAGATGGGTTCTATAGCTAAAGAGCCTTTAATCTAGTGTGGTCAATGAATGACATAGTTTACATGTCAGCAGGCTATAAAGTGTACAGCACATCTTGCCTAAGATGGACTTTATTAACTGAGAGCTAATGAAAAAGTCTAGGGAGACAGAGTCTGGGATAAACATTCTGGGGTATTCAGGTGATGCCTGGAGCTACAGATAGATGGTCCCCTGCTTATTAACAACATCCACTCCCAGCTCTCTTGATAGAAAACAGGTATTTATTCCATCAATTGAGCCGACACACTGCATGGATAACATTCCTGATTTCTCCCATGTTACAAATTTGTGAGATGAAGTACATCATGTCCTCTACATTTTCCCTCAGGAAATATATCTCCCAAATATTTTCACCCACAGCCCAGCTGCTGGAGACAATGTGTCATTAAATAGGCCATTCCATCTTCTCCTAGGAGTCTAACAAGTTAAACTTACTCTGTCAGCCTTACCCAGCCCTGTGGTGACCTCAGGTGGGAATGTGACCCTCAAGTATGTCTCATCAAAAGGATATGATTGGTTCATTGTGACTAGGGAAAATCGGTTCTCCAG